ATTCAAGAAGCTGGATTATATGAAGAACATGGCATCAGGATTGTAGGAAGACTCATTAACAACCTGAATATGCAGGTGATACAACCTTGCTTGCTGTTAAGTGAAGAGGACTTGAAATACTTACTGATGAAGATCAAAGACCACAGCTTTCAGTTTGGATTGCACCTCAATGTAAAGAAAACAAAATTCCTCACAACTAGACCAATAAATAACATCACGATAAATGGAGAAAAGAGTGAAGTTGTCAAAGACTTCACTTTGCTTAGACCCACAATCAACACTCATGGAAGCAGCAGTCAAGAAATCAAAAAACGTATTGCATTAGGCAAATCTGCTGCACAAGACCTCTTAAAATTGTTCAAGAGCAAAGATGTCAGCTTTAGGACTAAGGTGCGCTTCACCCAATCAATGATATTTTTAATTTCCTCATATGCATGTGAAAGTTGGGCAATAAATCAGGAAGACTGTATTTGAGTTATGGTGTTGGAGGAGACTATTGAAAGTGCCACGGACTGCCAGAAGAACCAACGGGTCTGCGTTAGAAGCGGTATAGCCAGAGTGCTCCTTGGAGGCCAGGACGGCTGGACTTTTGTCTCTCATACTTCAGACATGTTATCAGGAGGGATCAGTCCCTGGAGAAGGATATCATGTTTGGTAAAGTGGTGGGTCAGTGAAGAAGAGGAAGCCCCCTACTTGGATGGATTGGCACCATGGCGGCAGCAGTGGATTCCAGCCTAACTGTGAGGAAGACGTAGGACTGGGCAATATTTCGTTTTGTTGTAGCGGGTCACTACGGGTCAGAGCAACTTGACCAAAAGGCACGTAACAACAACAACAACATAAAGCACAAGTAAACATCTTTCTGGTATTCTCTGCTTTCAGACAAGATTCATCTGATGTCAGTTATAATATCCTCAGTTCCACATTCTCTTCTGAATCCGGCTTGAATTTCTGGCAGCTCCCTGTTGATGGGCTGCTGCAACCATTTTTAAATGATCTTCAGTAAAAATTTACTTGCGTGAGCTACTAATGATATTGTTCAATGATTTCCGCTTTCTTTGGAATGGGCATAAATATGGCTCTCTTCCAATCAGCTGGCATTCTTAGGAGGTCATTGAAAATACCAGGGCTTGGGTGGTTGTTGTGCTCCTGTCAAAGCAACCCTCTATACAGTTTCCAAGGAGCAACTGACTCCGGTGTGCCTAAACCAAGCCATCAGTCCACAGGCCTCAAAGTGATAGCTTTGCTTCTGAACACTCTACAACGGTCTTTTGGAGCAGATTTGCTCAGTGCAATACGCTGACTTGCTGCTTTCGTGGGCAGACTGTGGATCCAAGTCAAATGAACGCTGTAATAACTTCCACCATCGTCTCCATTGATCATGATGTTGTTTATTGGTCCACTTGTGAAGATTTGTGTCTCCTTTATGTTGAGGTGTTTGATTTCCATCAGCAAGTGCTTCAAGTCCTTTTCACTCTCAAAACGCAAAGTCGTCTCATCTGTGTATCAAAAGCTATAAACAAGTCTTCCTGCGACCTTGAGGCCACAGTTATCGTCACACAGCCCCATCTTTCTGATGATTCTGCTCCGAATACAGATTGAATAAACACGATGAAACAATACAACCCTGATGCACACCTTTCCTGATTCTAAACCACTCAGAATCCCCTTGTTCTGTTCCAATGACTGCCTCTTGGTCCATGCACATGATCCGCAATGAGCACGGGAAGTCATCCCACGTCCTCAATAAAACGTAGACACACAAGACGTTTTACTACGTGTCCAAACAGAACGTGTCATGGAAGCACATAACAGACCACGTGACATTCTGGATCCCTTTCTATTCAAGTTCATTAACTTAGTCATAAGCTAATTTCCCATGATGTCACTGCTACTGGTACCCAGCCTGCAATGGGCATCTGTGGGTAGGGGTCCACGGCAGTGTCCATGACACACAGCTCAGGACATCAGAAACTGGACATGGTGGTCCTCTGCAGCGAGACTGAGCCAGTAACAAGACACACAGACTCTGGATCCTTAAATAGCTATTAGAAGCTGTTTTCTGCTATGTATTCAAACATGACCCTTCGTCTCCATGCTCGATTCTACAGCGGAACCAGGCAAACCAGTCACTGGTCTTGGTATCACCTCAATGTGATTTGGCATCTCAGCCGCATGACTCAGGATCCGGGATGCAAAGAGAGGTTCCCAGAGTTCAGGCTTCAGCCACACAAAGATACTTCTCCTCAAGACCCCCATGTACTCAACCACAGCTCAAAAAGTCAGTCCATGGAGGGAGGAGACTGCAGCTGTGTAATGAAGCAAAGTAGATGATTTGTTGGATGTAAAACTGATGCTCTGCTGTGTAAACCCTCACTCAATTCACAATAAAAGTTGAGAAAAAAAAGTCAGTAAATGATACAGTTTAAACATTGCAGCGATGTCCCCAAACACTCCAACTTCAGAAGTGGGGCTGTTTGTAACAAAACAGGGGAGTTGTTCATCTTACAGTCCAGAAACAAAGGACCCTGGGACCATGAAGGGAGAAGAGCACAAGCGGAATGCAGGATCCTAACCGGAGAAGCTGCGACACCAGAGATGGAGGCAGAGATGGGGACGTGGAGAGAGGGAGCAGCTGAGAACTCCAGACTCATGGAAGGAGAAGGACTGACAGCTGGCAGCCAGGAGGCAGGCTTATAGAATGTGCCTTTTGGTGGTTTAAATGATTATATATTCCTGAGTGTTTTTGTGGACATCTCCCCACCCCCACCCCCACCAAAAAGAAAAGAAAACCAGAGGGAATGGAAGCAAATACTATTTTATGATGATGCACAGAGGAGACTGTAATCATCGCAATGAAACGATGGTGTAAAGCCAATGTTCTCCATGTCAACTATCAGTCAGTTCACACACACGTACAAACAGCAGTGGGCTGGCCACCTGATTTCAAGTTTAGGATGCAAACTGCCTGAGTGTACTCACGGCGGCCAAGCCAATCTGGACTCATCGTGACCCTGTGAGGCGGGGGCTGTCAGAGTTACAGAAGCAGCTGAGTGCCTTGATCACTGCGCCACCATGCTCCTTGCAGCTCTCCGGCACTCAGCTAAACAGCCTCGCAGTTAGTGTTGGAAGTCTGCAAAATTACCACCATCGATCCAACACTCAATCCCTCAGTACAGTAGTGAAGGCTACAGAGCACTGCTTAAAGACTACGTGGCTACACTTACTGCCACTGAATTGTACCCCAAAAAGTGGCCGAAGGGGCAAGTGCTAAGTATATCTTATGACAATTAAAAAAAAAAAAAAAAGTTAACTCCTTGGCCAAAGCAGTTCTGGAAAATAAAGGAAAAGCAGAATTCACATTTGTTTCTGCCCTGGAGGTGTATGAAAAGCTGTCTTCAGAGACCATGGATTTGGAGAAGCTGCTCTCCCCATTCCCAGCCCCACGCCAGGGACCGGCTGATGGCGGTAGCGGAACAGCATGCGGAGCACATTTGAAGTCACTGAGCCATACACATACAGGTGAAGATGGTTGAAATGGGAAATGTCCTGTTATCAGTATGTTGTTAAATGCCATCGAGTCAGTTATAGCGACCCTGTACAGGGTTTCCGAGGAGCAGCTGGTGGGTTTGAACCACCAACCTTGTGATCTGCAGTCCAGTGCAGATCCTAAAGCACCACACCAGGAGTCCTTGTTACTTGTAACTTTACCAGGAGTATAGTTACAGCAATAAAAAACATTTTAAAATACAATTCCAGAATGATCCCACCCAATGCAGTTCTGGATCATATGTAACAGAAGTTGAGCAAACTTCTTTCTGAGGGAAAAAACGTTTGTAACTACAACACAAGACCCACCTCACATTCCAGACCAGAGAGGAAGCCCCTTTCCCCTCCTCAGACATCCCACAAGGGGAAAAACAAAACAAAACAAAGTAAAACTCCTCACTACCAATTTCCACCTGTGATGTGAATCTGCACAATCGGCCTTTATTGTCCCTTTTTTCCCATTCTACATACTTCAAAATAAAGACATCTGTTCATAACACCATTAGGAAACTTGTAAAAAAAAAAACCAACCCAAACAAAATCTTGGTATCTTAAACTTTAAAAGTGCTATGTACATGGCAGTCTACAAATAAAATAACTTACCTTGCTACCAACTTAAAAAAAAAAAAAAATTAAAAGAAAACTTTAACACCAAGAAAGGAAAGATCCCAGATGCACCTTGAAACAGACAGCTAACTAGGTCCCGGGCAAGCTCCATGCAAGGAAACAGCCAACAGACCAGCAGGTTATCCGTACACCCGTACACCACTGTACGTGCTTAGTAAGAGCTGGTTCTAACCCAGGAAATTGGGAGAACTTTGGCTCAGTCAAAAGTGGGATCCAAACCCACTGCCGTGCTTGAGTGACAGACATTCCCACTCATAGTAACGCGATAGGACCGAGTTGAACTGCCCTATAAAGTTTCCCAGACTGCAAATCCTTCCGCAGCAAACAGCCTTGTCTTTTCTCCCACTGAACAACTGGTATGTTTGAATCGCAGATCTATCCGTTAGCAGCTGAGCACTTACTTAGTAACCACCGCGCCATCCGTGCTCCTTCAATGTCTATAAACCACCACCGTGGAGTCCACCCCACCTCACAGTGACCCCGTAGGGCAGAACAGAACTAGGGTTTCCAAGGCTGTGTTCTTTTTAGGGAAGTAGACGGCCTCGTCTTTCTCCTACGGATGGCTGGTGGGTTCCAACTACCTAGACCTTTAGGTTAGCAGCCGAGAGCTCTGACGGTTGCATCACCAGGCTCCTTAGCAGTGGGACATGAAACATGCAAGGGTGAACCCTGAAGCAAACGCAGACCCTCCCCGCAGCCCTAAAGCCAGGGTGTTGGGAGGTACCCGGAGGGCTTTGGACAAGTTGAGGCCATAGGGGTGCTAGAGGCGCACAGGCAATGTGCCCGCCTGCAGCGCTGGCCCCTGGTCTCAGGAGGGCACTTACTCATCACCGTCGGGGCACACACCCGTGGCCTCGTCATACTTGGTGCAGTATACGTCGGGGCTGTAGTTGAAGGTGCCATCGCGCCTGCGGAGTGGTCTGCGTCGGCGCTGGTTTAGGAAATGCCAATGGAAACAGGTAAATGGCCTGTGGTGGGCGCACTTGTGCTGTACAAACAGGGCGCACCGCTCTGTCCTAAACTCCTTTAGATACCTAAAAAGACAAACAGCGTTGCCGGTCCACAGGCGCCACAACTCCTCAAGCCCAGGCCCGGCCCCAAACACTAGGTCAACCCACAACCCAGCCCCAACCTCAGGCGCGACCACCCTGGTACCCCATGGTCCCTCAGGCCCTGCCCCCAGGTGCCAGCCCGCACTAGAGGACAACATCCCAAGTTTTGTCGGACAGCTTCCTGTACCCCAGGCGCTATCTCCCCGCCCCCCATCTTAACCCTAGGAGCGGTCTCTCAAATCCAGGCACACCCCCCTTCAGTCCCAGGTGCACCCCCCTGACCTCAGGAAGCCACAGTCCCTTCCCCGCAGTCTCAAGTGAGTTCCCGGTCCCCCAAGCCCAAGTGTCACACACAAACCTGCAGACCGCATGTCCCAGACTCCAGGCACTGACCCCCGACTGCAGACGGCGGACGCACAAGTCCAGATGACTGCCCCATCCCTAGGACTGCCCCATCCCCGACTCCAGGTACCACACTGACCCCAAGTCCAGAGGGTCGCCTCAGTCTCAGTCCCAGGTGTGGACCCCCGTTTCCAGACCTCGTGCGCGGCCCTCTGACCCAGGTGGCGGCAGTCCAATTCCAGATGGCCGCCCCTTCTCACCAGCCCCAATCGCGTTCCCTGTCCCCCAAGCCCAGGTCGCCCCCAAACCCAGGCAATGACCCCAGATCCCTATCCCAGTCAGCAGCAGATCAATTTCAGATGGCCGCCCCTTCCCCGCAGTCCCCCGGCGCGTTCCCGGTCCCCTAACCCCAGGCACCGCCCCCGACCTCAGGCGGCGGCTGCACTAGCCCGGGCGCGGCCAGAGCCGGGGGCGGGGGCGGCGTCGGGAGCGCGGCCCAGGCCGCACGAGCCGACGACGGGCCACAGACTGGGGGGCCGAGCCGCCAGCGCCCCGGATCGGACGGGCGGGCGCCGCAGTGCTGACCTGTAGTGGGTCGGCTTCTCAGTCTGCGGGGGGGACCCGCTCAGCGCCGCCGCCGCCGCTTTCGAAACCGACGGCATTTTCAGTCAAAACAATGCAGCGCGCATGCGCCGCGCGGGTCCGCCCCCGCCCCTCCGGATCTTCCCCCCTGCGCTGAGCCCACCCGCGCCCCCCGGCCGGCCGGACACGCCCCCGACACGCCCCCCAACGGCACGGCGCCGGAGGAGGTGGCCGGGCGCAGCATCCCTGTATCCCCGCATCCCTGCATCCCGCGTGGACTTGCGGAGTCCAGCACCCATCACCCTGCCTGCTCTTCATGGCACACACGCCCCGGACCCAGGCAGCACCACCTCCCCACCCCCAGCCCTTCCCTGCCCCCATACCATCACTCCACGCTTTCAGCAAACTCGGACACCCACGCTGGGCACAGGCCATGCGCTCTCACAGCCTGCGCACGCCCTGATGTCCTGGGTGCTGGATCCACGAGAACCCAACTTCTTGGTGCCGGAAGGGGGCGATGGGGAGGAACTCTAAATGTGTTCTTGTAGGGAGTGGGGAAATTTACCAAAATTAGATGGTGGTGGTGGTTATGGTGGTTTATACAGTCCTGTCATGTGCCTTCCTTTTCTGTGAATGTTGTTGTCAAGTGCCGTCGAGTCGGTTCAGACCCATAACGACCCTGTAGAAGGTTTCCGAGGTGAGCTTGCAGTTCAAACGGCTTTGCATTCTGGCGCATTAACCAAACAGCGCCACACCAGGACTCCTTTCTGTGAATGGTACCATCTAACTAGGTGAATTGAATCGTATGTTTATTATATCGTAATGAAACTTAGTCCCCTAGGAGGTTCAGTGATGATTAGAGACGCACATACCAGTAAACCACAGGGGTGTAAGGGCTTGGGACTAGAAGTAGGCACCCTGCTGCCGGAAACCACCTCCCAACCACCCCCACACTCATCTAGTCCATTTGCAGGTGGGCCCTGGAGGAGGCAGCTGACAGTACATGGCAGGGACACCCAGGTCTAGAGCACATTTTCAGAAACTTCAAAACAGTCATAGAAAATGGAATGAAAAGATAACAATTTTTTTCCCCACAAACTAGTATTTTCTAGGACTCTTGGCATGATGCTGTAGATTAAGAACTGGACTGCGAACCACAAAGTCAGCGGTTCAAACCCTCCAGGTGTTCCTTAGAAGCCCTGTACCAGGTCACTGAGTCAGAACTGACTCAACAGCCCTGAACCACAACAGCATTTTCTAAGTGTGTGGCGTAAAAGACATTGTTTAAACAAGATTCAGACAAACGTATAGAGGTAGTTTCCAGTTATTTAGCAAAAAGTTAAACTACCTCTAACAATCCAAATGCTATTGCTCAGTACCTTCGTGTCAGTTTCAACTCATAGCGACTCCGTACAGGGTTTCCAAGGAGCGGCTGGTGAATTTGAACCACCAACTTTGTGGTTCAAACCGACATGTTGTGGTCCAGTGCATTATCCCACAGCACCACACCAGGATTCCCAGGATTCAATAGTTGATGAGTCTTCCTCCAATCCTGATACCATGTTCTTCATATACGCCAGTTTCTTGTATTATTTGATCAGCATACAGATTAAATTAAAGAATACAACCCTGGTATATGCCTTTCCTGATTTTAAGCTTTAACCACTTGTACTTGAAACATTTTCCAAGTTGGAAATCAGGATCGAAGGAAGATTCATTAACAACCTGCAATATGCAGGTGATATAACTTTGCTTGCTGAAAGTGAAGAGGACTTAAAATACTGATGAAGATCAAAGAGCATAGCCTTCAGTATGGGTTGCACCCATGATTGCACCAGTGTAAAGAAAACAAAATCCTCATCACTGGATCAATAAATAACACCATGAGAAAAGACTGAAGTTGTTTGTCAAAGACTTCATTTTGCTTGGCTCCACCATCAACACTCATGGAAGCAGCAGTCAAGAAATCAGACAACGTATTGCATTAGGCAAATCTGCTGCACAAGACCTTTTTAAAGTGTTGAAAAGCAAAGATGTCAGTTTGAGGACTATGGTGCACCTGAGCCAAGTCATGGTGTTTTCAATAGCCTCATATGCATGTGAAAGTTGGACAACAAATAAGGAAGACCATAGAAGAATTGAGTTGGGTGTTGGAAAATAGTAAAGGTACCAAGGGCTGTAACAAACAAATCTATTTTGGAAAAGCGCAACCAGAATGCTCCTTAGAAGCCAGGATGCTCAGACTTCGTCTCTTAGACTTCTGACATATTATTAGGAGGGTCCAGTCCATGGAAAAGGATACCATGCTTGGTAAAGTGAAGAGACGGCGAAAAAGGGCAAGACCCCCAGAAAGATGGATTGGCTCAGTGGACTCCAGCATAGCAGCGAGGGGCAGAACCGAGCGGTGTTTCCTTCTGCTGTACGTCGGGTCACCATGGGTGGCAACTGACTCAGCAAACGCTGTGGCAGTCTGCTTCCGAGAGTTCTGTCCTCCTATAAGTGCACTATGAGTTGCAATTGACTGAACAGTAGTGATTTTGTTATGCCACTGTTGAATAATATGGCATTTTTAGGAAATTTTAGTGATTTGCAAAATGCCATTTAGTTTAAAAACACAGCAAGAAACAAAATTTTTTTTTACAAAATCAAGGTAGAGTTTTCCTATTTTTTCCCAGTAATGTAAGTAATTTTTTGAAAGGCAAATCATATAATAACAAAAATTACCACTAGCTGGTAGGATGCAGGACTGCCTCATATGACATATGAACAGAATGGTTAGACAAACTTGGGTCTATACACACAATGGAACACTGAGCAACACTGAAGAATCCACAGAACACCTTACAACATGGATGAACCTGCAAGATATTATGCTGAGTTGAAACTATCAAAAAACGCCTAATATTGTATATGAAACTAGCATTGTAAAAAGCTAAGAAAAAGAAACATTCAGTTAAAGGGGGAAGGAAGGAGGGAAAACTGTTCATTAGTTAGAGGGTGGTGGTGTTGTTTGGTGCCATCGAGTCGGTACCGACTCATAGCGACCTTACGCACAAGAGAATGAAACGCTGCCCGGTCTGGGCCAACCTCACGATTGTTGTCACATTGAGCCCATTGATGCTGCCACTTGGCCAATCCATCTCACTGGGGGTCTTACTCTTTTTCTCT